AATATCATTATTAAAATAGACTGGATTTAGTTTGAATTAATCAATAAAGATTATTATTTTCAATGTGTAAATTTCAAATTAACAATTTAATTACTTATACAACTCTGATTGAAATCATTTAAAATATTCTACTCAATAATTGCATAAAATTGAATATATTAAATATTTATTTTTAAATATAATTATAATTTTTTTATTATCTTTATTATTACAATAGGATTATTCATATGTCGCATTAATATAAATATCCATTCTTTATTAATATAGTATTACTAATCTAGAAATTGAAAATTATTTAAACATAAAAATTAATATTTAATCAATTTATATGTGTATAAAATACCATGTTATAAGCATGAGGGTTAATATGTCCAATTCATATGTTCTGATTAAGAGAAAACTTAATTCATATGTGATTAATGTCAATAAGATATATTTGATTAGAATCCTAAATTTAATTTGTAGAATCTAATAAATATAAATAAAGTTAATTAATTATTATTATATTAGGCATTGAAATCAGCTGAATTTTATTTTCCAAATTAGAAGTATCTGGAGAAATAAGAACATTTTTTGGAGAATATTAAAAACATAATGAAATTAGTTTAAATAATTAAATTAAATAATTTGAATCCTTGATATAAGATATTTAAAATGGATTTGCAAAAACGATAGAAGAATTATATTAGAATATTAAATTGTTTTTAGATACAAAATCTTTAATTCCATAGGATTTAGAATAAGTATATATATATTATTAAAAATTCATAGATTATTAAATTTAATGAATTTTATTCAATTATTACTAAATTAGAATAATTAGGTGATTCAATCAATCCTAAAGCTATTGAATAAGATAAAAATTACAAAAAAATTGTCAAATTACTAAATAGAAATTAAAAAATTAAGAAACTTATATGTTTTCTGAATTTAAATAATTAGAATCTTTACTTTAATCATTAATATTTAAACATTATGAATTTATAAAATAAATATAACCAATATATCTAAAACCTTACATTTTAAATGATCAATTTTATAACAGAATTATTAATGAAATAGAAATTAAATCAAAGAAAAATATATCAAATTCTAAATTAATATTTTAAGGTTCTAGGGATGGATTAAATGCTGAATCATTTTGGAAAATATGATATAAAAAAAACTAATTTATTAATGATATTTATGTCATCTAATAAAACTATATTTGGAGGATTCTCCATGTAAATGGGAATGTGAAAAATTTATGACTCATATTACTGATCCAACATATTCAACATTTCTATTTTCATAAGATAAAAATGAAATGTATTATTAAAAAGATGGATTCATAAATAGTGCCATTTGTTGTAATATGACATGTGGACCTATTTTTGGAGCAGGTCATGATCTATATATATCAACAGATTTTTACTGATGGATATTCAAAATTAGGTCGTACATTTTAAATCCCTTAATAATAATAATAAAATATTTGTAATTTTATGGAAACTTAAGAAAAATCAAGTTATTTATTTGGTTAAATAATCCCAAATATTGTAGAATGTTAGATATTTGAATAACATTCTAATGAATATTATTAATAATTATCATAATAAATATATATATTATAATAATTTAAATAATTTATATAAACTCTTTTAAGTAAATGAAATCTACACTTAATTATTTCAAAAATTTATTGTTAGAAAAATTAAAACTCCTCAACCTCAAATATCTTTTTCTTATCATAAGTTTCTTCCTCTAAAATTTATATGAATAATTGTTCCGCATTAAGTTTATCGATCTTCATCTGGAAAATATACAAAAAAGATAAATCAGCTAACTTTTCTTATCCAAAACTTAGGATAATATTATTAGGTTCCATATCTCCTTGTATAACACCTTATTTGTGTATGTAAAATATAGCAAAACTTATTTATTAAATATACTAAACTGCTGTTCTTTTCTAAAATCTTTCATAGGTTGTAAATATTAAAGTGTATTCAATTGTTCATGAGAACAGTATTCCAAAACTAGCACGATCTCTTTTTCTATTTCAAAATAGATGAGTTGCAAGATTAAAGAAAGTAAATAGTTTTGTGGATGTTCGAGAACTTATTGCACCTCGAGTTTCCAATCACAAGATTACATATTCTCAGAAAAAAAATTTGAGAAATACTTCGCTATATTATACATCCCTTAATTTTTTGATGATAGATTCTAAAAGTTTTTAAGGCTCTCTCTAAAGTCAGTTTCATTACTAAATGATGTGCATGGGTATCAAGCAAATGTACCTTCTTCACCGGATGTATAGCTTCTAATAAAACAATTTATGAGGAGAGGAGCGTAAAGCCATTTTAAACAAATGTATCGCAGATAGAGTTCATTGTGTTTAGTTAGATTAATGTAGTACATACTTAAAGGCTACTTCATACTTAAAAAATATTATAGAAGCTTATTGCTATTGGAATACAACTAATAATACTTGTAATAAATTAACAACAAGTTTAGCAAGTGATTCAGTTTGTAGTGGTTAAATCTCTTCTTGTACAACAAAGACTGGAGTTGGATGTGTTGATAGTGGAACCAATTGCAGTGATTAAACTTTGAAAATCTTATGTGTTTGAAATAAAGCGAAACTAACTGCATTTTATTGGGATGTAAAGATAGAGCTTGTAAAAATGCACCAGCAACATCTGATACTAATGATGCTTGTAAGGCTTGTAGAACTGATGGAACATGTACAGAAAAAGCTAATTGACTAAAACTACTTGTTCTGTTACAATTATTTAAGCTGCTGAACAGTAAGTATTGATTTAACTTTTGGTGATGTACCTTCAAAGCTCATTTCAAATTCCGCATGTGGATTTCTTTCAACTTGTAGAGCTTTTAATTAAAATTAAAATCTTTAAGGTTTAAGATTGAATATTTATTAACTATATTAAAACAAGTTTTGGATGTATTACAAATGGAGCATGTTCAGTTGCAACAATTTAAGCTGCTTGAATGAAGAACTCATAATAAATTGATTGTATAAGTTATGATACATATGAAAATGTATTATTCCATTAATAATGGGATAGTACAAATTCAATATGTTTACAAAAGGTTGTACTGATACACAGCATAAGACGAAAAAAAAAAAGGAGGTGCAGCCACAATAGCAGATCATGCCTGTCAAACTAAATAAGTACTTTGCTCATTATATTCAACAAGAGATTCTTGCTCAAACTACAGCTTGTGCAACATTTATAGGCTCGTGATGATAAGGCATGCAGCCTTTGAAAGCATTTTGTCAAAAAAGTAGTTCTAATGCTTACTACAGATTAAATATTTGAATCTTGTTAAGCCTTCTTCTTGCTATATTAATAATGATGGATCTGCTTGCATTGATTTTCAAGCAACTTGCGCTAATTATTCAACTGAAATCACTTGTGATTAATCTAGGGATGGTTTATGCCATAGGAATTCTGCAGGTTAGTGGTTTTTGTGAAAAAATTACTTTAGCTCTTATGCAGAGTGTAAAGCCTTCGAATCTGATTGTATTGCAAATAGAACTCACTTAGGATTAGGTAATTATAATTAGCCTAATTGCATTGTCAAAAGTTCATTATGTACAAAAAGCAGTACAACTGCTTTCCAAGCCAAAAATTGTTCAAATAGAACCTCACCTACCTCATATTTAGATTGTCAGAATTTTTTAGCTTAGAAATATGTTGAAGTAATTTAAGTGATAATATTTTTGAGTGTATCAGCTAAATGTAATACTTAATCATCAACTTCTTGTTATTGATTTAGTGAAAATGCACCTGTAACTTCTTCATACAATGATCATGCAAAATGAACTTAATATTGATCAACTTGCACAGTTGCAAGAACTGAAGGATGCATTTCCAAAACTTTACTACAACGATTTAAAATAGTAGATATAAAAGTTATAGAGGAACATTAGAATTAATTTTATTGATAATATTGAGTAACTTAATTTATATAAATACGAAAAATTTATTATTTATTTTACTCCTATTTAGTGTTGGATTGATTGGGGAACAGATTAAAGTAGGAAGTGATTATGAATGTTAATGCTTACAATTAATGATGCACGATGATTACTTAAAGTTATGATGTTAGTGGAAGGATGAAGAATGCAAAGCGAAATTAAATTTAGGAATTTAAAATGAAAGAGTAAGTGATTCATGTTATTGTACAGGTAATGATGCTTAGATTGCATGTGTGAGTAGAGGCTATAAACTATTTAAGTAGTTTATTCTACTAGATCTTGTGCAAATTATGGAACCAATATTAAAGTATTGGATCATATTTATTATAATTATTGAACTTGTTCAAATGATTCTACTTGTAATGTATGATTATCAACATGCATTGACATTACAAATTTTGATGATTATATTGTTAGAAAATGTTAAAACATTTCTTCCTTATTTAACCAAAAATATTTCAAATTGTTTATCTTGGGACAATTTATCGACTTAATTATGTGAAAATATATACTTGTACAAAGTATTGACCCTTTTCATTTTAAATATATCAAATTATTAAAACTCCTTATTACTTTACTAAATTTATAAGTACTAGAAATTGTCTAGTTATTTTTAAAAGAACACTTTGATTTAACTTAAATACATCACTTTAATAAAATCATATTTAAAAAATTTTTTCTTGATCATATTATTTTAGTTCAATGACTCAAAATATTAATAGATCCTAAAAAGTCTTAAAGGGACTCATTATTAATTCATTATTATAAGTATTTAATAATAAAAGATGTGAGTCCAAAGGATTATTCTGTTACATTATAAATGATAGACACTTATTAGAATTCTTTCTAACACAAAAAAAATCAATATGAGATAAATTGGGAAGCATATGATAATTAGCTATATGTAATGAGGTTAACTGCTAAAACGTTTAAATATAAACACCGCTATTGGTTAATCGAATATGAAAATAATATATCACCTATCTTTTAGTGTTAATTAACTTTTATATTTATTACATTCAAATAAGAAATCAATGAATCTTCTTTGATTCTTATGTCTATTGCCTTTGGGAAATACTTATCACTTCCTGCTCTATTCCACCTTATCTAAAGGGTGGATGTACTTAAAAGTATTACAATCGATCATTAAAGCTATTAGAGAGTTCATCCCCATAGAACTAGTCTGAAAATAAAAAAATAGGTTTACTTTTCTTAATTGGCAAATTTTTTAAACATTGGTTTGGAGCTATAATTTCATTTTACAAACTTAGCTTCCTGAGACAATAATTTGAGATAATAATAGAATAGATGACCACATAACAACGTAATAGTGAGTAAATTAGATTTTTTTTAAATATAGTAAAATTTTTATTCTCCACAAGATTTTATAAATTTATAATCTAATATCAAACACGAATCAAAGTTAGTCAATTATATGTAAGATATTAAAAAAATTTAATAATTTAAGGTTGAATCATATAAATTTTCTCTTCTTTATATAAATATTAGTCAGACTTTTGATAGGTGAGTTTTAATTTTAAAAAGTATCCAACTATTTCTCTTTCTAAATTTGAGATTGAAATATGTAATTTTATATCACCCAAAAATTTTAATTGAAGAAATAAATAAGTATTTTAAATATACAACAATGTATCTAAAATATATTACTCTTATTTAATTAGGATAATTATATTTAATAGGTCGAATCATAATAAAAATCAACTGTAATAGTTGAGTTCAAGATATTAAATATTATAGTAAGAAAATATCTGAAATGAGAGAACGCTTAGAATAAAAATTAATATAGGAGTAAAGTCGTACAAAGTTATAAAATTGAAAATATCGTTATTTGAAATTTAAATGATAAAATAAAAATTAGTTCTATTTCACTATGAATGAAAATTAAGGCTATAATTGGAATAAAATTTAAATTTATATTTTTATAATTTTATTTAATTTAATGTGAGTTTATGGTTTTGATGGTAGGTGATTAAAATAATAGTGTAGAAGATAATTATAAGAATTAAATAATCTTAATAATAACTACTTGGAAATATAAAATGAGCTCTAAAAATTAGCAAAAATTTAGAATAATGATTAATGATATTTATTGTTTCATTGGATTAGTAATTATTTCAGAATTTAATGGAATTTTATTTTAAGATTAGATTAGAATACAATTTAATAAAAAATTAGATTGTGATATAATTATTACAATATATCATTAAATATATTGAATGTAGTAATTCAAATCTTTTTAAACTAATCAGATTTATTTTAAAAACTTTTTATTGTAATTTAATTTAATTCTGATAAGACTCTTAGAATTTATAAATAGTTTAAATATTATAGAGGTGAAGAATATAAGAAATGAGTTGACTTCTTTTTAATTTCATAATAATAAAGAATTATTAGTTTAGTTTTTATTAATTAATTATTTTAGTTTTATTACAAAATTTCAAATATAATTAAAAATCATCTTCTTCTTTTTATCATATATTAAATTTTGGTTTGATCAAATTTGAATCTTAGTATATACATATAGTAATCTTAATTTTATTTCTGAGATAATGCAATAATATGTAAATTCTTGAGACTTTTTTAATCAATTTAAATTTAATCTTTCTATTAATAGGAATCTAGTGTTTCAAAATGATTGAATGAACTTCAATTTCATCTTTTTCAATGGAACTGTTTAACAGATTTAAACTTATTCGTAATTAATTTAGAAATGAAAATTTTGAAATCCAAATAGAAATCTTAATTGTGAAAAACTGATATATTTTTATTTATGTCGAAAAACAAAAATCAAAAAGATAAATAACCTCTAACCAAAAAAAAGTTTTCATATGAATTACTGGAAAATAGCTCTTTAAGTTAAAGTGACACTTGCTTTGCTATATCTACAAGTTTTAATAGAGAAAAAGTTGCTGTAGGATGCTATGAAAAAATAAAAATGTTTTAGTTTAAATAAGGAGGACTAAAGTTGATAAATACTTTAACTAGTCATAAATCTCATGTAAATGCTTTTTAATTTATGAAAAAAACAAATACATTATTTTCAGGAGGAGATGATAATATTATGATTATTTGGTCCACAATCCAAATCAATAATGGAAAATTTATAAAAAAAATATTTGATCATAAAAGAGAGATATCTTGTTTAATAGCCAATAAGGAACAAGATTTTATAGTTTCTGGGAGTTATGATTCAAATATTAAATTTTGGAGGTAAAAAAATTTTTGGGAATGTTGCTAAACTATAAAAGAACATAGAAATGAAATTAATAGTTTAAGCTTAAATCAAGAAGGTAACAAATTGATTTCGTGCGGCCAAGACAGATTTATTTTGATTATGGAAACTTCATAAAAGGATAATTAAATTTAATGGGTTTTAAGATAAAAATTATATGAAAATCATTAAGGTTACCGTTTATGTTTTATAGATGATTCAACTTTTGTTTTCCAACCCCGTGTTGGAAAAACAATGGATATTTATTAGATGAATGATCAATAGAATTTCAAAAAAACAAAAAGTATTGCTGTTAAAGGTTATGACTAATATTGCAATCCTTTCTTTCCTTTATAATACATTACATCTAAGAATCTAATTATAAATAAAAATGGATATTATGTTAATATAATTAAGGTGTTAGAGAACAAAAAATTTGTAAATTGTTATTCCATCAACTTCTATTTTGAATCAGATGGACATATATATGGTAATTTGACTTAGGACGGTGAGTATCTAATAATATGGGATTCACGATCTTCTGAAATCTAAGTAAGAAAATATAAGGAATATTGATGGAGCAGTATTCCTTATATTATTGAAATATATAATATAAATTTAATTATATTTTTAATAATGCCAATCTATATATAAATTAGGATTCAATAATTGACTAAATATTAGATTTAATAACTCATTTAATTGATTGGTTCTTGATATTTAGCTTACTTTAGGATGTAAATTTGATGGATAAATATTTATTTATTGGTTTATCTAAAAGTTAATTATATGGTGACCTATTAGGATAGAAAATAATATTTACATAAGAAGATATGAATTAATAGATTTAATATTTTTATTATATTTACTCTATTATTTATAAAGTTTATAATATATTAATTCTGAAATAATATTTAATTGTTAGAGGGTTGAAAGTGTATTGAATTATTTGCAGAAAAATTCCTTACTACAAAATCCTAAATTAGGATATATTATTGAATTTTATCTTAAATTTAAGGTTTTATTATATATTTTATTGAATTAAATGTTAGATTAAATATAAGTTATACAACCATTAATTAAGAATGCTAATAAGAAAAAATTTGTTTAGAATATATTGAGAACATTTTAGGCTGGATTACATAAAAGGAAACTTAAATAAAAATCTTTATTACAAGAAA